AGAACAAGATTTGTAGGCAAGGACAGCTCTGCAGCACTACAGCACTTCATTATAATGCTGTTTTCTTACAGATCAGATATAAAAAATATGCAGCTTCTGCAACTTTAATATTGCACTTGGCTGTATTGCGATTGCAATTAATTATGCAGCTCAGATACATTATGTTTAGTGCTGTTAGCGTTGTCATTTTTACTATATTAGCATTTAACTCAAAGCACCACTGTGCTTAAATAAAGCCTCACAGAGCTGCTAGCATAGCTGTAGACTCTTAGTCTTGAGATACAAGATTGTGTTGTCACAGTGAAACATGTGCCCAAGATGAAACGACTAGGGTTCACTTGTGCTTTCACTATGCAGAGTGTGAATGTGTGAATAGCTGAACTGAGTGACTGCTATTGCTCTTCACACCAGTGCCATTTCTTATACTACAGGAAACAGTGCTATGGCCAGACAAAGCTGCTTCATATCTCACTCTGTATTTCAGATGACCTACATGGCTACTAGGCTAGTTCTCTAACTCTAAAATAAGTTATTAACTCATGTTGCCAAATGTATGACACACTTGAAATGTAGGCTACTCTCATCAGTTTCCCAACTGCTGCTCCGTGATGTTAGTTCAAAAGAAAGTTGCAAAACTAGATTGTGAAATTATTTAAGTGTGTCGTAGAAATTGGTAAATCTAATGGCCAAAAAAGGAAAATAATGAAGAGAATCTGGTTTGCATGGACCTTACCAGTGCTGATAAACAGCAGATCATGAGATCAAGTGACTGACAGAGGGCCCATGTACTGTAACTCATCCTGTCGGGGGGGAATCCCTCAGGAGTGTCATAAACAGTTTGTGTTCTGATGTTTGTGAGAGCAAATGGAAATGTCTTAAAATATCCGAGGAGGAGCCACAGAGGATATTTTATGTAGAAAGAGAGAAGAGGTGAAACTGAAGGAAGAGAGTTCAGCTGCAGGGCCAGGTCATGGGGAAACACCAGCACCCGAACCCTTGCATGCAGCTTCAGCTTCCCGGGCCTCCGCTTGAACGTTTCATCGACGTCAGCAGATGGTCCGCCATCTTTAACAAGCTTGTCGTGTGTCCAGCGTCTTCGTCTTGCCCAAGTTTTGACCACTGAGGGCTGTTGTGGTGTTTCTGAGGCGTGACTCATCCACTCTGGGTTTGGTTGAGGTCTGGGCCGAGCCACTTTGTTGTGGAAATCCAGCACCCTCGCCACTGTTTATTTTGGAAGTCTGGTTTTCTGGCACTCTGTGAAGGTCAATGCCGAGGGGAACCATTAAATGAGAGGACTACTTGGGAGTTATATTCTTGATTTGGACATATTTTGGCTTTCTGTTGGAAGAGCGGGGGAGAGTCTGCTTTGTCCTGTTTTGGGCTTGCCTGACGAGCTATGATGGATTTAACCTATTTCTGTGTGACACGGATCCCCATGTTGATATTTCTGCTCCACATGGTACAGGGAACATGACAGAAAGAATTGTTGCGGGGCTTCTCGGAGATATTTTAATGGGGTCCTGGTGGAAACGGAAACTGACCCCTCTTTATCCTCCCCCCTCCGCCCGCCCCCGGTTGCTCACTCTTTTTCTTCCCCTGTTTTTTTTCTCTTTCCATTCTCACTCTCTCTCAAGCGCTCCCACAGCAGGAAGAACCCAATTATAGAGATATCGGGCCCATGCTGAAAACGTGATAGCCTGTGAAATGTCTTTGGCGTCACACAGAGACAATGTTTGTCCTGCCCCAGTGCAAACAGGATGCTGTGTGCAGGAGAGCGTCGCGAGATAAGAACAGACAACGGCAAGAGGGAAAGACCAAAAAAAAAAGGCAACCAAGGGGGCAGAGGACAGCATGGACAGACAGAGGAAAACAGCTGGGAGACTGATGATGCAGAGATGATCTGATGACCCTAAGAAAGACAGAAGTAGAGCAATAGTACAGTTACAGTATCACCAGAACAGTGCGATTCTTTTACAGGAAGTAGAAGGGTACGCGCCGCCACCTGAAGGAAACACAACGTGTACTACAGACAGTGTGTTGTCTCTCCTCCTCCTCCTACTCTTAACCATTTCCTGTTTCTTCCTTGCTTGATAGTACTTTACAATGACTTTGTTTGTCATCATGATCAGGGCCGATCAGGGCTCAGGTACTCGGATTTGGCAAATCACACGCACAGATGCCTGCAACAGGGATTTGTATTATAGTTGTAATCACGTTATTTTTACATAGAAACAGATTATGAGACGATTAAATAGTCTTTTTTCCACTAAGCCAAAGATTATTCTTGTTTTCCCCGGAGTTTTTTTTCTCCCACTGGAAGGTGAACTGAAGCTAAGGCCACAAGCCAACAATATTTTTTACCTGCTATAAACAGCATCATGCATTATTTGCAGAAGCTGCAGTTTTTTGGTGAAGGTAAAATATGTGACAAGACAGTATTATAATGTAGTACTGTTGTTCAGAAGAGATTCCCTGGCCTATAAATCTTGTTCTCTAGATGTAAGAAAACATGTTTGTTTAGTACAAACTCCACCAAATGTCACATCATCGCGATTTTAATCTATGATCTCAAATTTGTGCTGCAAAATGATTTAATTCTAATGTCACAATAGGTACGGTGGACAGTGAGGGTCACATTAGTCTCAGCTGGTACATGTAAAACCACAGCAGTGTAAACCTGGCCTTATGGTGGTGACCCCAATTTATTTTTTCATCTAACCTAACCTGCATTTGGCACCTGTGGGTCGTTCATTTTGAACCCTGATGCTGCCGTTGAGATAACAATTCAAGTCACAAAAAACATTTGACTTGTTTTCTCAACAAGAGTTATTTTTGGGTTGAATTGAAAGACACGTTCCACTTTGTCATGAAGACCTTTTTTTCTTATCTTGTTTAAGATCATAATGATAGTACGTTGTTTGAACTTTTACATACCAACCGTACGACCTGTCAGAGTTGACGATGATTTATGGTTTTTCAAATATTTGTTACTTAATTCTTCACACCTCTAGGCTCACCTGAGACAACACAAAGGAAATACAGTGAGAGCCTTGTTCATCGCAGTTTATGTAAAGAGGGAAATTATTGATCTTGCTTACAAGGGACGACATGATTGACACATTGAGCCAATAGAGACAGTGAATAGCATGGCATGTCAGTTATTCATACAACCGCAGTAAAGGCTTTTATTAGGTTGCGTTTTGCTGTTGCTGTGACATTTGTCCTTTTTGGTAGCTCTCCAGATTAACACCAAAAGTCTCTCTGTTGTTGGTGTTGTTGAATCGATGCAAGTAATGGTCCCTGACACCAAGACACAAACTCCAGAATCAATACCGGAATCAATTTTAGACTTTTTAAACCTTGCTTGCACACACACACACACACACACACACAGGCATAAACACAGAACTCCAGCTCCATCCTCATCAAACATCTCTGTGCAGATGCCTCTGGAGATGTGAGGCATCTGAGTGACTTTTCAAAGCTTGAGAAAGTAGAGCAGGCTTTTAATGTTGAATCTGTGACAGCCTAATTCTCTCTCTCTCCCTCTCTCTTTTTTCTGTGGCTGAATTATGCATACATGTTTCTAAGTTTGTCCTTTTTGCAGATTGAATCCTCCTTTTGAAACTGAGCAAAACCAGTTTGATCGTGTCCTTTCAGGATGTCCTCAGGCCGTTCGAGCACTGAGCATAGCACAGTTCAAGTTCATAGTGACATGTAGTAATTGTCAGATGTGTTACAGAATGTCTTTTTCATCAGCGCTCAAAGTTATCTTGTTGTTCTGGCGACAATGAAAATAGCACCTGGGACAGAAAGATACAGCGTCTGGGACAGTCCAGGGACAGTAGAGAAATGTATCATTACAGATGAAATGATTGTGTTCATGTGTCATTGTTTTAATTGTTAGGTCTTCAAATTTTAAAATGTCAAGTGGCACCGGCACGAGTTCTATGCACACGTAAAATCAGTGAGACTGGGTGTTTATTGTTAGATTCAGTGACTTATTCAGACCATCATGGAAAAGGTGAGTAGTATATATTCAAACATATTATATTGTAAATCATTCTCATGCGTGCAGCGGTGTCTCCCTCTCCTCAGGCAGTCCGTAGGTGTGGTGGCGTGTGGGGCACGCTCGACCTTTTCACTCTCTGTTTCTCTCCGGATCTCCGGATTAAGTTGTTCCTATATCTTATATGCAAATACTCAGTTTGAGCTTGTAAATATTTAAATAGTTGGCTTGATCTTCTCCCTCCCTTTGTCAATTATTTTTTCCTTCAAATATACGATGTCCCCGTAGTAAGTTTGGGATGATTGGCTGAATAAAAATAGTAATGTGCAAAGTGTGTACATTTCCATCAGCATATACCAATCAGAAACTGGTTTGCATATTTGCACTGAAGTTTGCACTGATGCATTTATTGATCGAACAATGACTGAAAGAATAATGAACAGGTATGGTGACTTCAATATTTTATTCAGATATAGGCGGACCAGAATGAGTCAATGAAGTGATGCGAGTTACTGAAACAAAGTTATGAAACTATATCTATTATCTAGAATGAAAAAATATCTTCAATTTGGGACAATGGTTGTTAAAGTCTGGGACAGCTGAAAGTAAAATTCGGGACACTGCTTGTGGTTAGTATGGCAATAAACATTGTTTTTACAGGTGAATTTTAAATTGTAGGTTCCAACATATATTGCATAGCACCTCCGGAGCCCTAGTAAGTTGACCTTGGAGTTATGGGCACTTCGCGGTTTTACTTGGCATATGACACACATACTAAACTGGTCTATGGGGTCCAAAACTTTGTTGTTAGGTCATTATTGACATAAACTATTACAAAAGACCATTCATGAGAACAATCGGAGGAACTGGACTTGCCTCACATCTTATTTCACAATTTGAACATCCCACACATTGACTGTTGAACTGATGAATCATTTCATCTACAATATGTCAAAAAAACGTTAAATTGTCTTTCAAAAAAAATATTTTTCTCATAGTCCTGCCTCGCAACCTGAGCAAGAAGACTGAGATGCTGTTGAAAGCTCCAGAAAAGTAGACCTTAAGTTCATTTCTTCTTTTTTTTTTTGCAACTTTTTTTAAGAAAGAACTTTAACGCTCAACTTTAGTGCCTCGTTCTGTTCTTCCAACACCATAACATTCAGTCAACAGTGAACCTCGCATTGAAGCTCCAACTAGAGTGGGTGGAGGTTTTGACTGATAAACTACGTTTAATCAGTTATCATAATTGGTGATTAACTTCAGTTAAATGAGTTATCATTGCACCTCTACACGCTTAAGCCCTCAGACTTTAATTTCCTGTAGCTTCTATAAGACCTTCACAGTTTCAGATACTGTGTGAATTCTGTGCCCCCCAGCAGCACAGCTGTCTGTATTTTGTTACTGCCGGGGAGTCCGCATCACAGCTCTGCATCACATGAAAAACTTTATGATGAGACCAGTGGCCTTTATCAGAGTCAGCTGACGAAGGCTGCACTGGTGACCCCGATTTAAGAAGGGCATATGCCGAAACATGTTGGTCTCAAAATATAGTTCTCAGTGCTAGAAGTGTTGCTGCTGTTGTGATTTTTAAGACATGAGTGTCTCTCAAAGTGTCTCTCAAAGTGTCTCACAAAGTGTCTCACAAAGTCACCACAGAATGCTGAAAGAACTCCTATAAGCTGACAGGTTTGTGTTCTTCACCTGTGAAAGATATGAAGTTATGTCAGCGTTGCAGACTAATAAAGAGTCAAAGAAGTGAATGTATTTGTCATCCAGCATTTAAGGGAAGTCCCAAAGGCTCTTGGGAAAAGAACATAATAATGGCAACGGTTATTTTTGGAAAAACTTTGGCAAGATTCTGTGGATCATAAATTATTGCGCAGATAGATTATTTGTTGGGTCATGTGACTTACAGTGCAGCATTGCTCCCGTGTCAGCCTCTTCTGTTGAATTACCCCGGCAGGAGCAAAGTAAACACAAGGATTAACCTTCAGCACCGCATCTGACATAGCCTTTAAATCTCAGACAGAATGCATTTTCAGCTCAGAACAATAAGAAATCCTCGTAGTTCTTTTAGCGGCGGCCTGACTGATCTGTTAATGCTTGTGTAGAAAACCTCAGCGTAGTACATTTTCTCATTTTCCAATAATGCATAATGCTTCCATGCCCTTTTCGCTTGAGATGCTTTACAGGTTATTACTTAAGTGAATACGACATTGTGCTCACAGTGACAGTAACCAGGCCTGTGCAACATTTTATTAGATCTTTCAATTACTGATGCCATGTTGGACATTTGTTTGATTCTTCAGGAAAGTCTGGTGCTTGTAAAAGTTGAACGTTTTTATTTCTTTTCCAGAGAAGTTGCATTCACACCGGAAGTGTGAATGCTTTTCTTTACTTTGTTTTTAATGAAAGGGTAGCACTAGCCATTCACAGTCAGCGGCCCAGATCCAGCCAGTGCAGCTATTTGTTTTATTGGGAATATATTGGCTGAAGTGTCTGGATTATTTTATCCTTTTCTGTGCAGGATGTACAAGTCTGGAAAAAATATTGGGAAAGAATTAAATTTCCATATCTTAATATAATTTTTTTTTTTTTATTGTGAAGGACAGTTGATGTAATCTACCACCATAACCTTTGCCCTAAACTCAGAACAGGCACCAATTTATCTGCAGCAATAAATGTACTCAGCAGAATTGATTTGTTTTATACAGGCTTACTCACTGCTCCTTATTTCTCAGGAACAGCATCAGGGCAAACAGCGAATCTTGGGTGGGCCCCTCTTCGCGCTGATGGAAAAAGTTACCGATGTGAAAAGCTTCTTATCTCCATGAGTAACTGCGTTTTTATTTTTTATTAGGCCCTTAAAAAGCCGCACAGGACACAGCCCAAGATTAAGTCAGTCAAGAAAGGAACAAATCCGTTAAATGTGTTGAATCAGGACATGATTGTTTGTTTGATGCTTATTCTCTGTGACCA